TTTTGTTCCCTTGATCAAAAATTTGATCAGAATTAAAATGACATCTGATATGTTTTAAAGCGTAATGATAAATTGCTCTGTATTAGGTGTAGGTGTATGGAAGGTGTTATGTTTAAATGTGGGTTAATTTTAACTGTTTCACGATATGTTTTTAGCCAAAAAAAAATAAGGAAAACATGTTAATAATTAAGTTTAATGGCTATTTTAATTGTTTTCTCTGTATAAACAAATTTTAATGTGAAAAAGTATGAGTTTTGTTATAATTGTTGAACCAAATTCAGGCAAGTTATGTATGTAATGAAATTGTTTATTCTGATTATGGGGTTATAAGTGGTCAGATGGTGGGAGGTAGGTGGAGAAAATAGCAACATATTTTTTAATGGCTTGACAGATTTGATTCCTTATTGTATGTAGGTGTAGGAACATAATTTAAAATGTAAATTTTTCACAAGATTTTTAATTCAGGCGTACTGAAACAGTTAGTTGAGTGACCATTTTAACATGGAAGTTAGATCACATTTTCGATGCATCTTAAGATTTCCATTTGAATTTTTGTTCTACTTTTCTATTTGTCCCCTGCTGAAAATCTATGGTCAGGTAACATTACCCACAACCCCCTGGTGAAAATCTATGGTTAGGTGACATTACCCACAACCTCCTGTTAAAAATCTATGGTCAGGTGACATTACCCACAACCCCCTACTGAAAGTCTATGGTCAGGTGACATTACCCACAACCCCCTGCTGAAAAATCTATGGTCATGTGACATTACCCACAACCCTCTGCTGAAACTCTATGGTCAGATGACATTACCCACAACCCCCTGCTGAAAATCTATGGTTAGGTGACATTACCCACAACCCCCTGCTGAAAATCTATGGTCAGGTGACATACCCACAATTCTGTTAGGATGTTGCAGACATGGTATGCTAACATTTTTTTTCAAATTTAAACCTTGTCCCTGTTTTTGCAAAGGGACTATGGTCCCAATATATATTAAGGCTGATGCACTTAAAAATGAAGAGATTGCTTGTGAGACAGGACTATGGTCCATACTGATTAACATTTTCTGACTTGCATATTTTATTTAATGCAATTATTCATTGAAATGCAGAAGTGTGTTTGTATGGATTATCTTGACATTGTTATGTTTAGAAGTGTAGAAGAGACGCACTACACCAATCGAAAAAATAAGTTATATTATATTTATTCAGCACCTGTAGTATGAAAAATAAATTTATTATTACAAAATTCAAATTTATTCAGAAAATAATGAATAAGTTTGTGAACTTTCACAGCTTATATGAATGAAAAATTGTCTGAAGGCCAGATTGATATTAAAGATGATGTTAATCGTCAAAACTGTTTTCCTTAGGCTTGAAAATATCGTGGAAAATTGATTTGGCAAAGGACTAATATAGCTGACTTGGGATTAATCATTCAGTTAAGTTCAAGCATCTTGAACACCTTGATGACCTCTTGCAGACGACAAGTTGTAATCTCTGTCACTTCAACTCTTTTTGATGTAGATACATGTAAATATATATGTAAACATTCAATGCGACGATTGATACAAGTTGTAAATAAATGTGCATCTTCTTTTACTAATGTTAAAAACTGCAGGATATTGAACTGTTCTGATAATTGTGTACTTTTACCTGGAAAAGATTTTTATACTACATGTAAATGCAAGTTATTGCACTTAGAATTGATTTGTTTTGGGAGGTAGCCCTTACAGTAGTTGTAAAAAAAAAATTTTTTTTTACTGAATTGTGCCAATGTCTACAAGTTGACTTAGGAGCATAGCAAAATGTAAGTTTTTGGTTTTATTATCATGATTATATACAAATGAAATTAAAAAAAAAATGAAATAAAGTTGGTGCTTTTCAAAAGTAAAATTCACTGCTTAGGTTTGTTTTTTTTTTCAACATTTATGAACTTGGTATGGATGGCAGATCTTGGATTATAAGTCTAAATTTTGATTTCTTTCATAACTTTTGAGACTCAGGGCAGTTAAGAGCCTGCCTAATTATATAGACAATTGTCCAAGGCCTAAATTAATATATTGTTTGTTTCCCCAATCCCGACCCTGCCAAGCCAGGTGTGGGTAGGTAGGTAGGGAAATATTATTATTTTTCCAAAAAGCTTGAACATTATCGGACGATCTGGCAAACCTGAAAATCCAAAATGATTAAAATAATATTTGACTTAGTTTTGACAATAAAATTTTATGAGTAGCACCATTTTTGTAGGGTCGGTCGGGATTGGGGAAACAAACAATATTTTATTTTAGGCCCAATGTTGAAAGATCAAGATGTCTTTTCTGTAGTGTATAATTGTTGGGTTACTTTCTTTCAACTAATATCCACTTTTCATTTTATTTATACTGATAAGTCTTTTGTATAACAGATGATAGAGGATACACTTGTAGTAATGTTTTACAACAAACAAACTGTGTAATAAATGGAAAGGAAAGAACTTAAAACTTTGATATCCATGTTTCCACTAACATGCTGAAAAAACATTAATACCCAGGTTGTTTCCACTAACATGCTGAAAAAAACATGAATACCCTTGTTTCTACTTAAGTAACATGCTGAAAAAATTAGGGTAGCGAGGTAGGTAAAGCAAATCTATATAATTGTCTGTTTCAAAACATTATCGAGTGGTTTAAACAGGGGAAATGTCTGACTTTGATAGTTCTCAACAGTTTGTTAAAATATGACAGAAAAAAAAATCTTTAGGGGTAGTCTTAAGGAAGGATTAGCTAAAACTAAGACCAAATTGTTTGCATGATTTCATAAATATATTTAAAAAATCTCTAGAGAGGTTTATCATACATGTATGTACCATAAATTCATCTGGTTGAAAAGCAATAATAAGAAAATTGAAAGAGGTTTCTGTCGTTTTCAGAACAGAGACAAGTGCAGATACTAAGATAGGTTACTGTAAATGACCTATAGACTCCATTGTTACTTACACATGAAGTATTTATTTTAAAAAAATCCTTATTAAGGATGTTGAAAAAAAACAAACATTTAAGGAATTTCTTTTGCTTTTTTTCAGTAAAGAAATATTATTTACATGATTATCCCCCCAAAAAAAGTTTTAAGAGATCTTGGAAATCAGCAGTCTGCACCATTAGCAACTAGTCTGATGCCCCAGACTAGTAAAATTTTATTTGGACTAGTAAGCATTTGCAAATATTTGTTTATAAGAAAATTGTTGGAGTATTGGTCTTTGGACTAGTAGTTGGAAAAGATTTTGGTGCAGACTGAATCGGTAAATGTTTTAAATGATTCAGAAGTGGTCTAAAGGACTGAACTCAATCATAGAAAACTATAGTACATTTAAATATGGATATCGGTAGCTATGATTCAGATAAAGATACTTAGCTGATACCTGAGAACAACAATTATATATTATCTCTTTTCGTACCTCACGATGATATTAAAAATATCTTCGTAGCGATAATCTGACCGCAGGCACAGCATTTAAACAGAGTCACCTTGACGTCACAGGTAACCTAAAATGATAGAACAGTTTGATAGTTTAAACATGGGAAAAAAATTGTGAGGACAACATTTTCTGATCGCCAGGATCATCTTAATCATGTTGTGAGTTTTGTTCATGATACAGCATCTTAAGAATGGCATTTTAGAAAATGTGGATGTTTTTATGGACTGGAATCAAATTTAATGATGATCAATGGCAAACTATTTATATGCATATTCATCATTGTTCATGTTTAATGTAAATATGCATTGATTTGATTTTAAGATTAACTACAACAAATTTGATGTTCATGATGTTCATGATGTTTGGGAAATGGAAACAAGTCAAATGCTAAATATATTTTTTCTCCATTTATAGTTACTTTTATTAACCCAATGCTTCCATATCTTTGTACCGTTCATATTTTAGAATAGGCCCTCTTCAAACTGATAAGTTTGTAAACTGGCACGGCTGCTTCTTCATGAAATGACATGTTGCATATATGCATATATATATAAGGTTTGGGTCTTACTAAGATTAAATACATGTACTTACAAAGGGTGAATTGTTTGAGAAAATCCCAAGTTTTTTGTTGTTGTATCATATACCTACATGTCGACTGTCATACCTGAGTTTTCTGAGTACATAAACCTGTTGAAGTTCTTTTAATAGAAAATGAAAAATGAAAAGAATGATGGTTTGGATGTAATGTTGACAGTCAGGACAATATGACAAATGTGTAGTTCCTGGATGTTAAAAAAAGTATTAAAATCTCTTCCTTTATTGAAATATTTCCTTCTTTAAAAATGCATTATTTTTTTTTATAAAGTCACCACACAAAATAAAGTGAATTTAAGACAAATGAAAGTCAATCAGAGGTCTGATATAAACAAGTCAGAATTTTGTGTGTCATGAATTACCTCCTGACATATTTTTATGCCCCCGCTTTAGGCAAGGGGGGCATTAACTATTACCCTTGACTGTCTGTCCTTCCGTCTTTCTGTCCAACCGTCCGTCCCCTTTTTATTTCTTTGAAGCTTGAGCAGGGGCATTTGCATCCTCAGACACGTTCTTCTTTTATTCTTCTCCTAAAACTGACTTCTACAACTCAGACGAGATACATGTTTCTGCATTATTTTCCTGTTGACAAAAACATTTCAAATTTTTACAATTACAAGTGAAAGATAAACAAAAATGCTTATCATTTTGGGCCATGTACAGGTCTATATATTCCTCAGTCAGACATCTACATTATATTGTTTTTCTTTCTTTCACATATATATGCATTTTTATTACCACACCTGGTGTTTTAATCCTTAACTTTTTTTTGAAAGGAAATGGGAACAAAAAGCAAAACGCACCAACTCACATAATTATATAATTTAATTAGTAAAGCACTTTCAATGGTATTTATAAACTCAGTGTATATATATTATAATAATTTGTTATAGTAAAATGCTTGTGTTGAATTCTCATCTTAAGTGTGAAATCTTGTCTACTTTCAGATAAATTAAAGAAACCATGTTGATTGAAGTAGAGATGATGTGAAAAGTGAATGAAAAAAGGTTTTAGTGCATCGATGGGGTGAATTGTAGGAAAAATCATGTTTTATTACACATTGTGTTCATGTGTGGATTCTAATTACTATGAGTTGTGTATTCCTTAAAATTGGATTAAATAATTATGAATAATGTTAATTGGATTAACTAATTATGGATGCTATTAATTGGATTAATTAACTAATTATGGATTATTTAATTGAAATAGAGTAGTGAAAATTTGAATCATATCACCACTGACTATGGGTAAGTTTTAAGCAATTAGGTGACTGATTAAGAGGACTGTAATATTTTAGAAATTGCCACCATCAGTTATTGAATTGATGGTGGCAAACTGAGTTTACTGGAGATGCATTACATTTGTAGTTGAGTCAGTAAATAATCATTTTCATCAATTAAATCATATCTGATGTTTGCAAATTTTAAGACAGAATTCTGTAATCCTTATTCTAACAAAATTAACTTTTGAAAAATCAACACATGCACATGTTGAAGTTAAGTAGAACCAGTTATTTTTAAATTTCTGCAAAAATAAGATATTGTGTTAAGTGATAATATGTACATGTACATGTATAAAGCAAGGTGGACATTATCATTCTGTACTTGTTTTGTTATAAATTAGGACGTTAGTTTTATACGGTATGGGTTTTTCTCATTGTTGAAGGCGTGCGGTTGCCTATAATTGCTTACATCCACATTATTTGAACATGTTGAACTTTGGTGGATATTTGTCTAATTGGCAATCATACCTCATCTCCTTATTTTATATTGTTAATTTGTTTAAAGGTTTATAACAGAGGGGGAACTGCTTTACCCTTCCTGAGCACCTGACTTGCTAAAAATTTTAGTTTTTAAAACAACTTTTTATACTTAAAAGTCTTAAACTGCTCCTTGTTTTTTTTTCTTTTGGCAACAATTTCATGAATGTTGACTTGGTTTCCTCTTGCGATTTTGAACTTTTTTCCCTCTTTCTTGAAATCAGATTGTTATGCAGAAGATGCTGTGTGTTACTAAAAAAAATATTAGAAACTGAACAGACAAGGCAATTTTTTCCCTGCCATTAAACAGTCGCTGTCTCTTAAATCAGCATAAATAGCCTTAAAATAGTAGATAGAGATTTATGTAATAAAGATGATATATAGATGGTATAATTTCATTACTTTGCCTCTAGTAGTTTTGTATTATCTCTGGTTCATGGCCTTTTCTTTTATTTACCTGCCTTTGATGAAATTATAGTGCACCTGTGTGTGAGAAAAAAAACCACAACAAAGAGTTGTTTTTCGTATTGTTTTTTTTCTGACTTCTGTTATTTGAAAAGAACACTTTTGTAAAATAAAGATAGGTTTACATGTTTGTGTATAAATATGAGCAAAATGTGATATGGTGTAAATTTCAAAGAGACCACCACCCAGCTAAGGTTTTCTGCACTGTCATGATCGTTATACAGCAGTATCGTAGAGGGATGCTTTCTGTGATCACCTCTATAAAAATAAGGATATGTGTTATAATTGCAAATGAGACAGCCAACTTTCCGCCAAAGTTCAAATAAAGTGGATGTAAGCAATTATAGACAACTGTACGGCCTTCAACAATGAGAAAAACCCATACCATATAGTCGGCTATAAAAAGGCCCTGCCATGAAAAATATGAAACAATGCAATTGAGAAAACTAATGTCCTTATTTATAACAAATTAAGTAGAAAGTCAATAAGACAGTAACCTAGTGACACAAAGAACCAAAACGGCATCTAGAGGTCAACAAAAGATGTTAGTGGTTATGAATGAAAAACATACTGTATCCCTGCTCTCAAGAATCTGACACAAAGTCGACTCCAATCTTAATTGACTAGGATTGTCAGTTTTCCTATCGAAGGTCGGTGGTTTTCTCCGGGCACTCCGGCTTCCTCCACCAATAAAAACTGGCCGCCACGAAATAGCCCAAAAGCGGTGCTTAAAAGTGGCATTAAAACACCAAAAATCAAATCAAATTAAATCAAAGTCGCTATTCTACTTTCTGTTTTGAATACCTTTCAGAATCCTCTGGTTTTGTTTTAATGATAAACATCTTCTAAAAGGAGTAAGCCGTTAACCCTAATAAACGGCCCTGTAAAGTTTAAAGGAGTGCTTTTGTAATTTTCAATTTTTAGTAGAATTAAAGCGAATTTATTGCTTAATGTATTATTTTTTAAATCATAATAAGAATAAATGGATATCTGCTTCAATCCTTCATATTTATAAATATATTACCCTAAAATAGGAATAGTTGTCATTTTAGTCAAATTTTCTCTATAGTACCACCATTTACAAGTAAACCAATTGCTTTCTCTAAGACTAATATAAAAAGGTAATTGATTGTCTCCCCCTTAATTAAAAAAATTTTTTTTACTCAGTTGTCTCACATGGCAAAATCTTAGACTCTTTGTAGGCCATGTAGGCCAGAAGTTGTAGTGTATTTCTTAAAACCATGTTTTTATTTAATGAATTTCTAAGAAAGTGATAAAATATTAACAGATTTTTTTACATGATTTATATTTTAAATTCATTTGACACTAATTCACATGCAAATGATAACATGCTTTGAAATGTACACAATACAGGTATTGAACTTGTGTTGAGGTCCTTAGGGTTGATTGGGTTCTGGTAATCATGTAATTACTTATGATTTACATAAACAAATTGATTTACTTTTCCTTTAATCATGTTAATAATTAATATAAAAAATTTTAAGGCCACATTTAAAAATATTTTGGTTTGCCCAAACCCTACCCAAAGGCATGAAAGGTAGGGACAGTGGATAGGTAGGTAGGCACTTTCTTTTCTTTTTTTTTTTGACAAAGAGAAATCGAAGTGTCAAATGTTTTTAGTCTTCATTCCTATCTGATTAAAAAAAAAATTTTCACATCAGGAATCTGAGGACAATAAAAGATTTTGGGTAGGCAGATATTTTCTGGGTAGGTAAGGTAACCATTGGTAACAGGGCAAACAAACATATTCTTTTTTATGGCCTAAAGTCATAACATGGTCTCTTAGTGGCATAGTGGAATATATCATTATAAAACTTATTGAATTTACATCATAAACATAGGCCTATGTATGTACACACATGTATTTAATTTATTTTTTCAAAACCATCAAATTGACAGATTTAGAAGGACAATTGGAAAAAATAATTGGCACAGGATCATACTGGCATAGCTGTAGAAAAAATTAATCTCGAGGTTGAAAATCAAAGTGAAAATCTTATTGCAAGTTAATTTATTCAGTGCAAAAGTTTAAAGTGACTTTGTGTAAACTGTCTGTGCATCTGACAATGTCTGAAGAATCATGAGAACCTTCCGATAGGATGTTTATCAACCTTATTAAAGTTTTTTGTAGAACCAACTTGAAGCTCATTTGCATATTAAATCACACATGTCGACATGGTCTAAGGAGACCTTGTAGTTCGAAAAAGAAAATTCATACAATTCATGCAATTTGTAGTAGGCGCTTTTTATGGGAAATTTTTACCTTTGCTCAGTTAATAAAATGACTCAATAAAAAATTATATAAAGCGTCTTAACATTCATCTCCGCATGTTTAATACTTGTAAAAAAACTAAAAATTAATATAACGATAGTTATGTATTATCCCACGACCTCACCACACAATGCCAAGGTCTGACATGTACATAAATCATATGCTTTGAAATGTACAAGTTGCATGTTATATGTATGATATATTTAACATTGATGTAAGATTCCTGTGCTTGTTTGATAAGACCCACATTTTAAAATTCAGAAGTTGTATTTTGGTATTTCCATACATCATGTACATTGATATGTTATTGTGTTAACATGATTGTAATTCATTAAAGTCCTCTGTTCCTTCTCATATTATGATACTTAAACATGTTAAATATCATATGAAGTGATTTTTAACTGGTACATGTATGTAAAAAAAAAAAATTCTTTTGTTATTTTGTTTAGCATGTTCATGTGGAGTTCCAATTTCATTTTCGTCCTGAATATGCTTGAAATATTTGCCGCTGGACGTTAAGCAACCAACAATCAATCAATCCAATTTCATTTACATGTATTATAATACGAAGATGAGATATGATTGTTAAAGAGACCACTCTCCACCACAGACTCTCAGTGACAGACCAATTGACATACATGTAGCAGTTGTGTATGTTATTTCATGCTGCTTGTCCATATTTTAATTGACTTTGTCATTTTGTCTGGTTAAGATGTTTAAGAACAAAAAATCGGTATAAAGTTACAATAACTAAAAAAAAAAATCGTGGAATTAGATTAAGTTTATGTAAACCTTGTTAATCCATTCATGATGCCCTCATTTTATATATAGTGTTGTTCAGTATTAACAGGAAAAAATTTTTGTCGTAGATTTCTGTGCCATTCGATTATATAATTACTTAATTTGTAACTGACCAGCTGGTCCTTAATCATGTTAATGGACTTCACGAGACCCCATTTATAGAATCCAAAAGCCGTTTGACTGACACAACTTAAGAAATATCAGACTCCAACAAAAAATTGATCATGTTGATTGACTTGATAATTATACATTTTATTTTCCGCTTTAGTAGATATTTATCAGCCATGTTTACACAATTTTGACCCACATCAGGTTACTAAGTCAGAATGACTCTCTCGCTACCCTATACCGTGTCTTTGTAATCAGATATACACCATTATGACCTTGTTTAGATGAAATTGATTAGAAAGTTTAAATAATATTTCCATTGTGATGGAATAGAAGATTAACCTGGTTTCTTAAGGCCGTACACATAAAATGGTCAATTATTCATATTTATATATATAGTAAATCAATTAGGTCAAACAAAAAGTATGTGTGTGATTATATGGATAACCTGCTTGAACATATTTAGGATTTAGAAAAAGAGAAAAGATGTAGAAACAAATTCTTTCTATTATTTGCTCAATGTTCTTAAGGCCATACAAATAAAATGTCCTATTATAGAATATATAGTACATTTGATTAGCATGATTAGCTGAAAGAAAAAAAATGTTAACATGTAAAAAAAAGTAGATGTAGGGACGATTTCTTTTTTTTTTAAGGCCATGTTCAAGGCCATACAAATAAAATGTCCTATTATAGAATATGGTACATCTATTATTTCAAAGAAAAAAATATGTGTGTTAAGGTTTCTCTACTTTAACCATGTTAACTATATATTTAAAAAAAATGAGTTGATTCAACATTAGATACCTGGACTCTTGCATTGGTCATTAATCTTCATTGATCTTGTCTCATTTTTCGTGTACAAATTTTTTGCTTGAAAAGCTAGATCCAGTATTATGATTGATTAATTTCTAAGTCTTGAATACAACAATCACAAAAGTTTTATGATTGTATGCCCTGAACGTGTATTCAGATTTCATAAATTTTGAATTTAAAAGTTAGATCAAATTTAAAAGTTTGGTAAATTTTCTTGAACAATTTGTGATGATAAATTGTTTCTGCATGATGAATTTGAAGCTTGGGAACAACTTTGTATTTGGTAAAACTTAATCATATGGTATTGTTATATAATGTAGCTCTTCATTTCATGCATTTATGAATCTTGGAGTTTTATTTTTGTTTTTTAATCATGTTAATGCATATTGCCAATCATGAGTGAAATGATAAACATGATAAAGGTACATGTACCTGTACATGTATATAAAAGTTCAAATTCACCAAAAAAATCGACAAGAAAGTCAGCACATTTAGTAACAGGTCGTTAGGCCAATATTACCATCTTTCATGTCTATCTAATAAAACATAGCTATAGACATGATAGATATAAATTGTATAACAAGTTAACCAAAACCAAAAAACCAAAGTAGAAAAATAGAAAAATAGCATCTTTTTTCCATCATCAGAGCATTCATTTCGATATCAGCTCTCAGTCCTAAAACTCAGTTAAATACGTTTTCTGTCTGTGTACACATTCAAACATAAGCATGATTAATGATATTTAATTGCATAGATAATTAAATTTGACGAAAAGTATTTTATTTGTCAGGTGATAAGAAGAATGATTTAGAGGAGGTGATGGGGAATATTGAGACCCAGTTACTGAAAGGTCTGCAGTCTGGGAACAAAACTGCAGCACAAAGAGCCTATACAGACCTACAGGTATGTTATCACATGACTTGGAAAGAGTTTTTGAACCTTTCCCAAGTCAGGAACCTCTGGCCATTGTTAGTCTTGTATGTTTTTTTAATTTCGGTTCATTTATATGTCTGTATGTTTCTGAGTTTAGAGTGACGTCCATTTTCTATGAACTAGTACACATTTTTTGTTTAGGGGCCAGCTGAAGCCTGCCTCTGGGTGCGGGATTTTCTCGCTGTGTTGGAAGACCCATTGGTGGCCTTGGGCTGTTTTCTGCTCTTTGTTCGGGTTGTTGTCTCTTCTGCTCTTTGGTCGGGTTGTTGTCTCTTCTGCTCTTTGGTCGGGTTGTTGTCTCTTTGACACATTCCCCGTTTCCATTCTCAACTTTATTGAATTGTGGAAACACTGGAATGTTGAGATAAGTTAATGAGGGTTTTAGATTCTGACTGCTGCCCAGAGGGCCTACACAATCCTAGATTATTTGTCAGTTTCAATGGATGGGACAGACATGGACAAGTGGATAGTATTAACACATCTCATTTCCATGGAGATGAATTGATCTCCCCATACCTCACCCCAATCAGTTATTTTTTATTGACTTTGAAACTTTTGCTTAAAGTTAAAATATTAACAAGGCAATGCTATTTGGTATGCAGTTGAATTAGCATTAACTTGTCTCAATTCTATGGAGTTTACAAATGTAAACGATCCTTGTCACTAAGGATTTTGTAGTTAAGTTTAGGGACTCACTCCCCTTTTTTGGCCATGGGATGCATGGTGAGTCCAACAGTGAGGAGAAAAAGGATGTCTTTACTGTTATTAATTTATTACTGAAGTCTCAATCACAAAAAAAGAGCCAGGAAATGACTTCAAATTAAGATATATAATAAACATTTGCCATACATGCCATAAAAGGATGAAATCTCGCTCAGCTGATACTACGTTATATAACCCTCTCTGCTTATGTATCTTTTGATCTGACAGTTAGAAAAGGATGAGTCCAACCAGATTCAGAACTCATGGACTCTTCTTGGTGAGAACTTTGCCTCAGTCATTGTTCATTGACTTTGGAAATTTTGCATAGTTAACATTTTAAAATTTGTGATTACATGTAGGTCACTTCTGATACATATAATTCATTGATAATGGTATTCATTTACATTCCCATATCTCATTTCCAGAGAGGTTCATTGAGTTTTAATGTTTTGCATAATTTTCATGTTAAGTTATTGCTATTTTAATTTTTTACATTTGCATTTTACTATCAAAGTTACATAATGGCGAGACATATCTCCGTGTCAACAGTTTATATTTCAAATTTGAATATTTGAAGGAGACAACTTAAAATAACTTTTATAAAACTTAAATCAATATGCAAAATTGTAATATCGAACTGCACATCACCAGACTAATGTAACAGGAAAATTGTTGGTTGTAAGCTTATGAGGTGACCTTAATAATTTAACATAATGTATGGCCTAGGAAAACACTTTCTAAGGTCATAAGTATGTAAAGTGGATTGATAGTACAAATATTGTTTTTGAAATTGTTTTCGTAACTTTGTCATGTTTATCTACTGTACAGAAATTCACCTCTCACAATCGGTACATGAGATTAGGAAAATATTTACTCCATTCTTGTTTTTGACACTTGATAAGCTTAAACTTTTATGTTTATCTTTTTCAGAAAAGAGAACAAATTTTACGGATTAAATGTGAATACAATGGAGAAAAGAGGTAATATTAAAAAAAAAACTCCAGGTAGCTTAAAGAGAAAATTACAAGTATTAAGATATGTTCCGACATTTAAATATTTGGTCTGATCACTCTTAATACATCTTTATTTGATAATTAAACTACTCAGCACTTCAAAAACATTGATATACATGGTATATTGTATAAGCCTGGATTGCCTCAGGAGAGTTTTATTTGGATACGGCTGGTTGTATGTGGTTTTTGGTTGTGCAAGATTTACTATGAGGGTATGAATGGGGTTTACCGAGTAGATTGAGAACATGTTCTGAATAAACATGTAAAGGGCAAATGAAATTAAGAATACAGAATATATGTTAGAATGTGCAAAATTGATAAAGAATCGAGTTCAATTGTCTCTAAAATTAAAGAGTAAAGAAATGAATGACCCACAATCTAGACCCTCTACTACAGGATTGTGTGATTTGTTGAAGTCTGCTAATAGTTGGTATACCAGTGTTTCTTCTTTTTTTTTTTTTTTTTGAAAAGAGTGCATATCATGACATAGATATACTCTACAATTTTGTTAATAATATTTCTTTTTTTGGGGGGAAGGAGGGGGGGGGGGGCATTTCCCTGTATTATACTATTATACTTAATTTTTTGGAAGTTATCAATATTTTATTTGTTGGGTACAGAACCATACTTAAAGTTTTGGAAGTTATCAAAAGTTTATTTGTTGGGTGCCAAAAATGGTTCTGTACCCCTCAGCAGTTCAATTAATTGTCATGATTGTAGGTCAAGGACTTGATTATGGACCTGTCATTTCATGGAGGAAAAGTTTTATTTCTGAATATCAAAAGTCCAGGACCAGTCATCCTTTTTATTGACACTTTATATAGGACCTGTGACCTTCTTTAATATAGGGAGGGTCTTTTACTAAAAATACTAAAAAGACCTTTAATTTGATTTAAGGCAAATTTGAACCCTCTGCTCTTCTCCTTTAGAATTTTGTTTAGATGTCAGCTCTTTGGTTGTCTGTGTTGCATTTATTAACAGCATTATCTAAGACACCCATGTCAGAAGATTTAACTAATAACCAAGGGAAATAATCCAATCTTTAAAAATACTGGTAAACACCTAAGACACTCATGTCGTAAGATTTAGGTGCTTGTCTGTTCTTGAAAACTGGTGACCTTTATGATATCATTATATTTTTTGTGAAGTTTAGTTGTTGGGTTTTTTGTCTTATACTTTTTATACCCCACCTACGATAGTAGAGGGGCATTATGTTTTTCGGTCTGTGCGTGTGTTCCTTTCGTCTGTCCGTTCGTCCGTCTGTCCCACTTCAGGTTAAAGTTTTTGGTCATGGTAGTTTTTGATGAATTTGAAGTCCAATCAACTTGAAACTTAGTACACATGTTCCCTATGATATGATCTTTCTAATTTTAATGCCAAATTAGAGTTTTGACCCCAATTTCACGGTCTACTGAACATAGAAAATGATAGTGCGAGTAGGGCATCCGTTTACTATGGTACACATTGTTTTTTTTTTTTCAAAAACCATTTCTTTGTCCTGGTCCTTGTTTTGTAATATGCCTTTAAAAAATGAAAGTTGAATAAAAGTAAACTTGTTGACCCGAAAATATTTCAGTTTTGATCAATGACCTATGATTTTTATGATGTGTCTAGCTATAAAAAAGAAAAAAAGCAACAAAAAAAAAAAAAAGAAACTTTGTGCATTTAAAAATTCGGTCATAGTTCTTTTGAACATATTTACATCTAAGTTTTTTAGGTGCTGATTGCTCTAGGTCACAATACAAAGAAAACTAACAAAGCTTAACAATTTATGATTTATTATTATGGGTTTTTGTTGGCTAAGAAGATATATATTTAGTAACTCACAGTTAAACCAAGTACATTACATGCATAGTAATTCATTTCAAATATATCTTGAAGTGATTTATTTTTTTTGAAATATCAATTTTCCAGAGAATAAATTTTCCAGGGAGATGTGGTTCCATATCAATTTAGTTCCCAATGGAACATGTACTTTCCACTGTGTCCTTGTACCCAGTATGGCAGTAACCAAAAACGTGTTCACATACTACACAAATTGATCAACATATTGAAAAGTTTTCCCACAAAATTTGTTAGTCTCTGCTTATTAAAAATCACATTCTCTCTTAAATCAAGGTTACTGTGGCCTAGTGGTCAAAGTAGTTCATCAACAGTATTTAGTAAAAAGTCTCAACACTGAGGTTGTAACTTTAAAACACCAGAGATGCAGACCATTGGGTCCTCATGTAACGCAGTTTTGTCAGTCCCATCATCTGTTTGCCAGACCTACTTTTTTTGAAAAATAATAATTAGTTCCTAGTTGGATTAAGATACCCCTTAAAACCTTGACTAGAACGACCAGGTTTAATAAGGATATGACCATGGGATGGTTTAATGACTGAGACCACATTTAATTTAAACATGCTAAATATTCTGCAACATCAAATAAATAAATGAGAATGTTGTACTACACTTGCCAATAAGGCAACTATCCATTAATTTCAATTTTGACGGCCCCAAACAGTAAAGATATTTGCCGGTCATTTGCCGGACCCTCTAAAATTCTGCCCCTATGTCTGACAAGTCTGACGATTAGCTGCATCTCTGGAACCCTGCACATGGCATGTGTGTTTGACTCCTATCTTAATTAACTAAGAATGTCAGTTTTTATACGACCGCAAAAATTAAAAATTTTTTGGTCGTATATTGGTATGACGTTGGCGTCGTCGTCGTCCGGCGTCGTCGTCGTCGTCGTCGTCGTCGGCGTCGTCCGGCGTCGTCCGAAGACACATTGGTTTTCGCACTCTAACTTTAGTTTAAGTGAATGGATCTCCATGAAATTTTACCATAAGGTTCAATACCACGAAAGGAAGGTTGGGATTGATTTTGGGGGTTATGGTACCAACAGTTAAGGAATTAGGGGCCAAAAAGTGGCCAAAAATAAGCATTTTTGTAACTTCCAGACAATAACTTGTGTGTAAGTGTATGGATCTCTCTGACATTGTACCACAAGGTTCCATATCACAAAGGAAAGGCTGTAATTGATTTTGGGGGTAGTTGCCTCAAAATTTTAGGAATTAGGGGCCAAAAAAGGGGCAAAAAACAAGCATTTTTCTAGTTTCATGACAATAACTTGTGTGTAAGTGTTTGGATATTTCTGAAATTGTACTACAAGGTTCCATATCACAAAGGGAAAGCTGGAATTGAGTTTGGGGGTAATTGCCGGAAACGTTTAGGAATTGGGGGCCAAAAAGGGGCCAAAAATAAGCATTTTTCTAGTTTCCAGACAATAACTTGTGTTCAAGTGTATGGATCTCTCTGAAATTGTACTGTAAGGTACCATACCACAAAGGGAAGGCTGGGATTGAGTTTGGGGGTGATGAATCATAAGGGGGTTCAAAAAATTTGGGGGGGGATTTTTTTTTTTTCTTTTTTTTTCTTTTTTTCCTTTTTTTTTCTTTTAAAATTTTCCATTTTAAGTTGGTTATTTCTGATTAATATTTAAAAGCAAATAATAATGATATGGTAGGAGATACACACCAAACAGGATGTGTAAATTATTATCTAATAAGTATTGTGCAATAGCAAGAAATTTTCAATTGCACAGTATTGCACAATAGCAAGAAATCTTCAATTGCACAGTATTGCGCAATAGCAAGAAATCTTCAATTGCACAGTATTGCGCAATAGCAAGAAATATCCAATAGCACAATATTGCGCAATAGCAAGAAATTGTCAATTGTACAGTATTGCGCAATAGCAAGAAATATTCAATTGCACAGTATTGTGCAAAAGAAGATACTTCGTATAAATTGCTTATTTCTTGATCAATTTCAATGGGGTTTTATTCTTGAATTCTTGGGGTTCTTTAATATGCTGAATCTAACCGTGTATTAAGTTTTTGGATTTTGGGCCCCGTTTTTAAATTGGTCCACATTGAGGTCCAAAGGGTCCAAAATTTAACTTTGTTTTATTTCATCTAAAATTGAATTATTGGGGTTCTTTGATATGCTGAATCTAACCGTGTATTTAGATTCTTAATTTTTGGTTCCGTTTTCAAATTGGTCTACATTAAGGTCCAAAGGGTCCAAAATTAAACTTAGTTTGATTTTAACAAAAATTGAATTTTTAGGGTTCTTTGATATGCTGAATCTAAACATGTATTTAGATTTTTGATTATGGGCCCAGTTTTCAAGTTGGTCTAAATCGGGGTCCAAAATTAAACTTTGTTTGATTTCAACAAAAATTGAATATATGGGGTTCTTTGATATGCTGAATCTAACCATGTATTTAGATTTTTGATTTTTGGGCCCTGTTATCAACTTTGTCCACATTGAGGTCAAAAGGGTCCAAAATTTAACTTTGTTTGATTTCATCAAAAATTGAATTATTGGGGTTCTTTGATATGCCGAATCTAACCGTGTATTTAGATTCTTAATTTTTGGTTCCGTTTTCAAATTGGTCTACATTAAGGTCCAAAGGGTCCAAAATTAAACTTAGTTTGATTTTAACAAAAATTGAATTTTTAGGGTTCTTTGATATGCTGAATCTAAACATGTATTTAGATTTTTGATTATAGGCCCAGTTTTCAAGTTGGTCCAAATCGGGGTCCAAAATTAAACTTTGTTTGATTTCATCAAAAATTGAATTCTTGGGGTTCTTTGATATGCTGAATCTAACCATGTATTTAGATTTTGGATATTGGACCATAATAGGTGAATGTCCAATTTAAAATTTTTAAGTTCTTAGACCACATTCATTCTGTGTCAGAAACCTATGCTGTGTCAAATATTTAATCACAATCCAAATTCAGAGCTGTATCAAGCTTGAATGTTGTGTCCATACTTGCCCCAACTGTTCAGGGTTCGACCTCTGCGGTCGTATCAAGCTGCGCCCTGCGGAGCATTTTATTTGCTCTATGCTGTGGTTCTCTCCAGCACTCTGGCTTCCACCACCAGTAAAAATAGGCCACCTAGGTGTTGCCA